GGCTGGGGCCGGGCCCCCTGGAGCCCCCCGGAGCCCCCCAGCCCGTGTTTCCCGGCAGCGGCGCCGGGGCTGGGGCAGGGACAGGCGGAGGTGACGGTGTTGGCCTGTGCCTGTCGCCTGTGCTGGGCGCGGGGGGTGACGGCTGCAAGTTCCCCTTTTCTCTCCAGCCACGTTACTGGAGTCTCGCCGTTCCCCCCGGGCAGAGCTGCCCCTGCGGTGCCCAAACTAAGACGTTCCCCGGACGGCTTTGCCTCTCCTTTCCCTGCCCCTGGGGTGGGGTGGCTGGGTCATTACTCTGTCACCGCTGCAGAGATCATCATCCTGGTGCTGGCGACGCTGAGGACGAGGCCTGCAGACATGTCCTGCACGGGGAGAAGAGGGCGGGAGCCGAGTGAGAGAACAGTCCTGGCTCAGTTTTGATGAGCGGGGTGTGACGCGCCCAGCCACGTGCTGCCACCTGCTCCTGGCGCCCGGCTTGGGACCACGAGGTAAATCAGCAGTTGGGCTCACAGGGCACACTCACAGGGCACACTCAGGGCACACTCACCACGTTCACGCTCAGGAAGCTCTGGAAAGCCGGTGCTCCAGTCCCGATGTGGACGGTGAGGAAGAGCTTCAGGGCTGCTTTGCCTTCCTCCAGCACCACGCGGGGCGAGCTCCTGAACACGGCCTGCAGCACCACCGGCTGCTCCTCCTGGAAGAGGGAGCCCATCTGCCGAGGGAGGGGGGTTATTTCTGTGCCCGGCAGGGGTACCCTGTGCCCCCGGGGTGGTGGGCAGGCGGCCGGGGGGCACTGCCCGAGCTGGGGCTGCGCCTCTTGGAGCAACGGCAACGAACCTGAGTGATCTTCTGTGCCAGGGTGGCGGTGGTCAGCGGGCTCTGAAAGATAAAGCAGGGCTTGTGACCTGCCTGGGCTGCCGTGCCGGGGCTCGTGCCCAGCACAGCTGTGGTGAGCACTGGGCTGGGGCCTTCCTGCACACTCGGAGCACCATCGGGTTTCTCCTCATGGCACGTTCTCCCGCATCACTAGACCAGCAATGGTTTTGGGAGCACAGGGGTGGGGGGCTGTGGCTGCCAGGGTGCTCAGACACACACTCTTGTTTCTTCGTGGGGCACACGGCTCCTCCAAGCCATTCATGGGGCAGGACTGTCCCACCAAACACGTATTTTTTACTCCTTCCTTGCTCACTTGCTCTACTCACCGGGATGGTCATGTTGAAGTCTCCGGCTATTTCCAGGGCGAAGAAGAGGCTGGTGTAGAAGTGCTCGGAGAAAGCCAAGGTGAGGTGGGAAGGGCTGGAGCTCACCGGCTCGGGCATGCTGAAGGGCACAGGGCTGATGGGCAGGGGGATTGCCATCCCTGCCACCTGGAAGGTCGTCTGCAGGGACACGGGCAAGGAGAAAAGGAGTTGGAGGGGTCTTGGGGCACGTAGCACAGGGAGGAAGCGGCTCTCCCAAAGCCTGGAGCTGGGCTGTGGGCGCTGGGAGGCGAGGACTTACTTGCAAGGAGATGGTGATTCCCTGCTCGGAGAACATGGGTGCAGCCAGGGGCATGTACTGGACCTGGCAGCTTGCCGTGACGGGGAAGGGAGCTGCAAACCCAGCAGAGGGGTGCTCAGAAAGTGGAGGGGACCAGTGAGGGCAGGTTGGGGCTGGGAAGCATCTGGGTTTCCCAAGTAAAGAGACAGGGAGAGGGAGCGGGCGGAGGGAGCGGGTCCCCGGGGGGTGATGGCGGCAGAGCCGCTGCTGCAGGGTGGGAGCTCGTCCCATCCCGTGACTGGCCCCAGAACGAGCCCTGAAGCCCTCAGTCCCTAACGAGACTGGAAGCCCGACACTCACCCGTCAGAGACATCAGCTGTTCATTTGGGGAAAGCAGCAGTTTGGAGACCTCCAGGCAGATCTGTGGAATGAAGAACAAAGAGCTGGTAGGTGGGCAGGAGGGTCTGCTGGCACCTGCCGTCCCCCGAGCCCTCGGACACGGGTGTCGCTGTTGTCCATCCGCTCAGCGGCGTCCGGTGACCACGGGGCTGCTGCTCCTCACCCCACGTGCAGGGCTGTGGGGGCACCTGGCAAAGCACCAGCTTGACTTTAAGTGCTCTGATTCTCACAGAACCATCCAACTTCTCCTGTCTCACACCGTTACAAGCATTATCTTACCTTATCGACGTTAAGCTCCTTGTCCGTTTCTGAACTAGAGGACTTGCTGGATGGAAACAACAGAACGGAAGAAGTTAGGGGAGACCCAGCTCAGCCAAGGGCAGGTGAGCATCTTTTACCTCACCCCAAAGGCATCCAGAGACAGTATTACCTTTACTTTCTATCATCTATTAAGCTGTGATTACAATTCTGAATCCTAAAACACTGAAGAATTGCCATTGGACTTCCTGCTACCCTTCTTTAAAAGATGCACTCCCTTACGAAATAATTAAACTCTCTAAAAATGGGGGAAACCTGCAAGCGGAACGAAGTTCCTCCCATAAAGATAAATTTTTGGTAAGCTTTGAGGGCAGCGAGCAGACCTTAGTCATATCCCCTTCCTGCCTGGAAACGCTTGTGCCTCTGTTTCTTCTTTTCCCCCGTTACCCAGACCCCGTAACAAGGAAAACCGCGGGGTCGACCTTTCCGTCTCCTCCGTGCTCTGCATCTCCTCCACGGTGGGTTTGCAGGCAGAGGTCACCAGCTCCAGGTTCCCCTCGGGGTTCATTTCCACGTGGAAGTCGGCCAGGATGGAAAGTCTCATCACCTTGGTGGCGGAGCTGCGCCGGGGCGGGAGGCGGCGGCTGGAGCCAGGGGGCTACTCCGGGCCCCGCTCGCCCCAGCGCCCCCTGCTCCCGCAGGGGCTGGATCCGGTGCCGGATGCGGCCCCATCGCTCCGGCCGGGAGCTTGGGCAGCTTCCAGCCCCCCATCCCTGGCACTCACGGGGCGGGGGTGACGCCGAGGTCCACATCGATGCTCAGGCGCAGCCCAGCGTCAGGGACGAGGGACAGAGACAGCGCGGCCACCGTCACGGAGGTAACTCGGTCCCTGCCGGAGCAGAGGGAAGGTGTTGGGGACGGGCGGACAGGCTGATGCGCAGTTCCTGGCGGCTCTCACAACGGGCAAACCCCACGCCCCGTGGGATCTGCACAGGTAAATCAGAGCCCGGGGGTGGAACTGGGAGGCACTGGGGTGCTGCCCTTAGACCCCGGAGGAGGAGCCAGGACCTTGTTTCTGAACTGCTCTGGCAAACAGCCACGTTGGTCGCCAGCAGGATTTTTGCCCTTGCTGGCAAAACGCCTTTTGTGAGGCGATGCGAAGTGCTCCCGCTAAGCACCAGCTGAACCAGTGGCACGGTGGCGAAGCCTGGGCAAGGCAGAGCCACGGACTCACCTGCTGGACTTTGGGGAGCCGAGAATCAGGTCTGGGGCTGTCGAGGCCACGAGGTCCTGCCTGAGAACTGCCTCCGCGTGCGCCTTGGAAACTTCAGCAACTGTGGAATAGGGTGGGTGCTGTTTTACGAGACCCTCTGGGGCTTGTGGTCTGACGCACAGAGATGGACAGACTGAAATCCGTCCAGGTGGCACTTCCACCCCTGCCGAACCCCCCAGTTACTGGCTCTGGAGAGGGGGCGATGACACTGAGCTCATTAATGGCGTAAGTTTCTGGTGGCGGTTTGGAACAGAAAGATGCTGCTGACAGTGAGGGAGGGTCTGGACTTACGGTAGCTCAGGCCTGAGGGGGTGAGGATGCCGCCGCAGTCGGGTGACCTGGCGGGGTGAGCGGGGACCAGGAGGCTCAGGAGGATGCTCAGGGTGCGGAGCTTCGCCGTGCCGGCGCCTGGAGGGGGAGGAGGGAACCAGCAGCAGCTTGGTCAGAGCAGCGTGACCCTGGCCAGGCCACTGAGGCCACGCTCGGGAGCCACGGACCCGCTCCTGGCTTGGGTTTGTGGTCCTCAGCTTGTTGCGGGTGGCACCTGGGGATTCAAAAGCACTAACAGAAGGCTCAGCCTTGAAACCCCCCCGCAAGTCCGTGAGGCAGAGCGGTGCTTGCAGCCGTACCCTGCCTGCTGAGGAGCGTATAATGGCCTAAATGGTATAAAACTAACACATAAAGAGGAGCTAAAATTAACTGAAAAAAAAAAAAAAAGGTGAAAGTTTGATCTACCCCTCTGAAAAACAGCTGAGAACTTTTTACAACGTTTGTAATGCTCTTACAATATTAAGAAAACAAGTAATTCAGAAAGTTCAGCCTGCAGGAAACGCACATATTTACACCAGCCTTTGCAGAAAAGGGAACTTCTGATGGGAACTGACCCTCACAGAGACACCCCCAAGTAAGCACCGGCCGCGCCTGCGCCGAGCTCTCCGGCGTGCAGAGGCGTCTTTACCTTTCCTGGCCAATCTTCCCATTCTTCTAACGCCGGCCGTGTCTCGCCGTGGCCTCACGAGGGGTCGAGCTGGCTTTAAATACCCTCCTGGCGCAGGTGGTGGGGCAGAACCTGGCAAAGGGGCTGCACGCCAGGACAGCGGGCGGCCCTTTGCTTCATTTGCCGTTTTTATTGTTTCCCCGTGTACGTGACTGCGGTGGCCGGTGACCTGGTGAGGTGAAATATTGACCAGCAGGTGCTGGGGCAGCTTGCCTTCCCTCTGGAGCTGCTGAGGAGCACAAAGAAAGGTCTCTGGGTGCAGGGTGCCAGGAAATCAAACATTTAGAAAGCGAACGTTGGCCTCGTTGCTCTGCAGCCGCGCTTTCTGCGCAGCACCGTGGCCGCCCCGGCAAGAAGCCGCTGCGGTTTGTGTCGCTCTCCCGGCCGGGCAGCTCGGACCAGCAGGGCTGAGACGTCCGCGCGTTGCGCTGATGGGGGTCTTGCCAGTTCATCGAAGATGCTGCCGTCAGGCCTGGGTGAGTCTGTTGAGGGCAACAGGAGTGTTTCTGTTGGGTTCAGTGAGTTTTAGACCAGACAGAAGATCTGGTTTTTTTCAAGGTATCTCCTCTAACCTCCAGAATGGCCCACGTGCAGTAATTCCTTCCTCTCTAACCCGTTCCCAACCAAAAGCCACTGGCAATATTTATTACAACCGGTAGAAAAAATGGTGGGTGATGTCCACCCTCTCTGATAAGGGGAGTCAGAGTCCCTCTCCCTCCTGTGCTTGGGGCCCATCGTGTTCTCCTGGCTTCCTTTCAGCCCGGAGGGCAGAGCATGCACTACCTGTGAATGCCACGTAAGTGCACCCTCCATGGCCTCGCCCAGCTCCCCTTCACGCTCCGTGCTCTGACTCGCCCCCCCCTCCCCATATTTGTGAGCTTTGAGGCATGACCCGTCTTCCAGAGAGGGTTGAGTTGCCCATTTTGGTCTGAATCCCTTGGCAGCGGGGTGAGGTGTTCGGTGCTTGTTGAAACACCTGCTGCCCGGGGAGGCAACCATTGTCCTTTGTGCGCGGGTGAAGTGACTTATTGGGCGCTGGCTCCAGGTGCATCTCGACACGCTCGAAGCCTTTGGCTCTCGCCAGCCCAGTTCCTTCTCAGCACGGCACAGACATGCCACGAGAACAGGTTTCAGCCATGTCGTGCATTCCCATTGAAGGCATCCAGACAGCCGTGCAGAGAAAATATGAGGAGCCATGTCTTGCAGGCTACCGAGGGAGGTCAGGATTTACGCTCTACGCGGATGTGCGCAGCCTGTTTAGAGGCAAGAAATGCCTTCAGAAAAGTAAATCCATTGAGAAAGTTATAACCTGTGGAGGAGTCCCCTGGGGCCATGGGGGAGGCGTTTTGTGGTCCCCGATTTGGGTAGGGACGTGGACACAACCTAGAGGAGTCTCCGAGAAATAAGTCTTTGCTGTGCTTTCAAGCAGCGGCTGGAAATGTGCCCTGCTGTACCTTGTTTCAGCGTAGGTAATACCAGCAGCTCTTCCCGAAGCAGCGCTGGAGATTTATCTGTGGAGCGTTGTTATCATTTACCGCAGTGCAAGGGTCTGGGGATAAGCTGCCAGGACGAGATGGCACCGTGGTGCTCAGAGGTGGATTTTCTCCTCCTGAAGAGCTGTTCTGGACTTGACGATCCCTGTGGAGGCTTAATTAGATGTCAACTTGCAGCATAATGACTGATCAAGTTACTAGCACAAAAGTGTCTTTCTGGCATGATGCGTTCCTTATCGGGAATTATCTATAAATCTTCCACTCCTGCTGGATAAGATGTAAATCTCCCTGTCTGGGCTCAGCAGAGCCACGAGTGCATCACTGGGAGGGAGGTAATGACAGATTAAACCTCATGACACGTTTTATACAGAAATGAAGAACTAAATTACTCGGGCCTGGCAGAGCCGGGTCCTGCTGGCTGGGGTACCCGGGGGGGCGGGTGAGCCCGCCGTGGTGGCCACTCGCCCCGGCTCAGGCAGGGCGGGTGCGGGGGCAGCCCGAGGAGAGCTCCGTGCAGCCTGTCCGAGGTCTGGCGGCACGCGTGGCTCTCCCGCGGCGGGATGGGGACGGGGTTGGGGCTGAGAAGCCTGTTCTCTGGGCAGGGGATGGTTCTTCCCAGCCTCGCTCCAACCCTGCTGAAATCAGTGAGAATATTCCTGAGATTACCACATTTTCCAGGGGGTTATCCACCCGCTGATCCCACATCCTCCCCCAGCATTTGCACAAGTTCCATGAACCTTTGAGGAGCGAAAGTCCCTCGTCCCAGGAGTCACAGTTACACGGGGCAGAATTTATCACACGTCTTAGGTTTCTCCTCGCCCCCGTGTCTGTCCGTACCATGTAATTAAGCAGATCAGGATTATCTTTCAGCCTTGACATGGAAGTCTCTGTTGGCTCTTCCTGGGCGTTGAGCAAGAGCGCTGGCTTCGCTGGGAGCACTTGCCTGGTGCCCGAGGCCTGAGGGCTTACCCAGACTTTCAAATTTATTACTGCAATTATTTGTATTGGCGGATGTCAGAAACACTCGGGGATTAGCTTACACCACGGTAATTACCCAGCCCTTTACTTCATTTGGTTTTCCCCTCTCTCGGGCAGCGTTTGTATACAGGGTGTTTCTCGTCTCTCTCCAGATCAGCACAAAGCTTGGACAACCCCTGGGGACTCTCTGGGTGAGGGGACGGCGGGGCCCTTCCCTGCAGGATTCCCCGTCGTGCCCCAGCTCACGGCATTTCCCTCCAGTGCGAGCAAGAAGCGGGCGGCCAGCGGGAGCAGAGGTGGAGCCGTGTCCGCAGCCCTGGGAAGGCTCATCACGCCTCGTGCCACGGCCAACAGCCGTGAGCTCTCCTGCCGCTCCTACGGCCAAGGCTCGGGGTGGCCGCGAGACCCACCCAGCCCCCTGCTGCCCCAGGCAGCTCCAGCCCTTTCTCCGCGGCGGCTTTGAGGCGTCACGAGCAGCTCTGGTGCTTGTGGAAGAGGAAGGGTTAGTGCCCTGCTTGGGTACCAACCCCGGGGTGGGTGATGCAGGACACAGGCACATCCTGGTGGGGCTGCTCTGGGGCGTTCACTGAGTTTTGGGGGTGATTCCTGTATTGAGGCCGGGGTTTGGCTCGTGTAGCTCTGCCGGGCTTGCCCGGAGCCCTGCTCGCTTTCCTCTAGCGTGAGCGCAGCGTTGAGCCCCGATGCGCGCTTTGGGAGCCATCTCCAGGTCGCTGTCTCTGTCTGTTGACGCTCGCACACTCCTGGGAGCCTCTGCCACCTCTGGAGCTCCGTGGGCAGCCGGACCGGCTCAGATGTTGAGCTTTGGTGCGTTTTACTCCTGGGGGGCTGGCTGGCGTGGCCGGGGGGAGCTGCTGGCCCGGGCGCTGTCATCAGGATCGATGTCGGAACGATTGGCCGCGGTAAGCGGGCGCTCACGTTAGCGTCGGGGCATGGGCACGAGTCCGTGAGGACAAACGGGCAGCGCTGCGCCGCAGCGAGGGGCTGCCCTGTGCTGCCCGGCCGGCATCCCCTAGCTCAGCGCCCCCAGCTCAGCCCCAGCCTGCACCCCGGGCGCTGCCCCTGACCTGCAGCGGGAGCCGCTTCCCCCAGGTCTACGTCCCCGTGGGGCTGCTGAAGCGGGACCCTGCGGCCGTGACGCCCTGACACGGGCACGCGGGTTGTCTCCCCCCCGCGGTATGTTCAGGTGGGAACATGAAAATGCCCCCATGTCTCATGTCCGAAATCAGTGTGTGTGCAGCACGCGCCCGCCGCGCTCTGGCCGTCCCCCGGGGACGGCAGAATTGCTGTAATCGAATTTAGAGCATGCGGAGCGTCCTGCTGCTGCCTGGGGGCCTTGGAAGGGGAATGCGTTAACAACGGTGTGTTATAGGGTGCAGCGGGGAGTCCCCCCGCCCTCCGGCACAGGCTCCTCGCTGGAGGTTTTGTGTTGAACTCCTCATCTTGTGCAAATCTTCCAGCCGTCTCCCCTGCTCTGAGTGAGAGTGATGTTCTGCAGAAAATGGCAGAGGAAGCTGCGAAAAAAAAGCCAAACGCCAAACCCATGGGAGGCGTCTCGGGGTGAGTGATGATCAGCAGCATTACACCACGAGCCTGAACCTGGGAACGAGGAAATAAAAGCAGAAGGTTGGGAAGTGTCAGCCTGGAGGCAGAAACGAATCACTCCCCGCTAACAAGTGTGATATTAAAGCCGGTGATTTTCTGCATGGTCGTGTCTACAAATACATGGAGAAACTATAACTTAAAGGCAACAAAGCGCGTCGGCTCCTGCCTTGGCGCGGCCGGGGCTGCTGCAGCGGCGCTGCGGTGCGGGGCAAGGTTTGCTCTCCCAGCCGGCGGTGCCCGGCTTCTGTCCGTGATAATCTGAGGGACCCCAGAATTTTGGGGGGATCAGACCCGGCCCTTCATCCCGCAGATCCGAGCTGGCTGAAGGCATGGGGACGTTCTGAATGTCAACACGTTTTTTTCCAAATTTTCTTCAAAATTAAACTTGTTGGGAAGAAACGTGTTTCTCAATTTAAAAGTGGTTTTAGATGGAAAGCTTAAACCAGAGGCGGAAGGATAAATAAAGCTGGTGGCGGCAGTGCCAGCGATAGGTGACTTTGCTGTGAGCAGCCCGGCCTGGCTGCTCTGCCAGCTCCTCTTTCCCCCTCATTTTCCTCCGTTTTTCTCCGCAGGCTGAAGGTGAAAGGTCTCCGTCCCCCGGTGATCTCGCTGACGCCCCTGCCGGGCTCGGGGCTCCTCATGGCCAAACAACCATCACAGGGAGAAGGTGAGCGGGGCCGATGCCCGCAGGGAGCGAGGCTGGGCCGGGCTGGGCCGCTCCCAGGGCTTGGCCCCGCGTGAGCGAGCTTTGCTCTGAGCCCCTTTACAGGGAGAATCGTGGACCTGGCTCTGGCCGCAAACCTGATGGCCGGCAGCGGCTGCGGCGGGACGGCGCGGGCAGCCCCGGGACCTGCCACGTCGCTCGCGTCGGCGTTAAAACCGACCTCCC